GTCAAGCTCAGTTCCACCAAAGAAATAATGAAAATTGCACAAAAGTCAGTGGCGTACATTTTTAAGTCAAAAATATTCGTTCAAATCCCGCTCAAGACGCCACTGAACTTGAAAAATTGAATCACGTTCGAGCTAAATCAGCTCCTTGATGTTATAAATACCATTGCCAAATTACAACAAAATTAGGTAAAGGATATTTAAGATATTTACGAATACCTTTCTTTTTTTTTATTTCAAAACCCTGTATCTCGAGAACGAAGGATTTGCGGACCTATGTTCATATGAACATTTCGTCTTAAAATTACCTAAAGAATCGTCTGTTGAATGTGTGGTACATACCTAATTAACACCCTGTATAGCTTGTTGAATGATAACAATTTATGTATATTTAGTTTAAGATTCCCCTTGACGATGATCACTTGGTAATCGAAACACGTGTCGATGAAAAGTTATATCAATTTGAGCCAAGCAAACTGAAAACATTTGTCACAAATTTTGATTAATCCTGACATTCATTCATTTTGATACTCTACACAGTGTATTACATCATAAACAAATTGAACTGGAATGTTTTGTCAAGAAAATATTGTATTTATTTCTTTTTTCAGTTTTGAGCAACCCCCATGGTGGAGGAGGCAGTCACAGCAACACTACAACAACAAATTTCGATGTATGTGGTGCCAATTTTTGTGTTAGTACCCTGAATAGTAACGAGAACCTTTCAAGACCTGACGATCAGGAAATTTATGAAATTTCCTCGATATATTTGGGATGTATTATCGTGGCAGCTATTTTAATAGCTCTTGTTGTCGATCCACTCTCAAGGTAAGTGAATATTTGAGCTTTCCGTGTGATTTACAGTGTACTTGAATAAAACTGGCCAATACTTGATGAAAATACATATTGAAAGTTAATTTATTGTATGATTTACACTATAATAAGCGTTGATAATTATTAACGTTTGAGAAAGCTATTGTATAGCGAAACATGTGTCGCGGTTTTTGTAAAACCCTTTAAAGTAAAAATCATACACTAAACTGTATAAATGAGATTTTATAGTGTACTTCTTTATGTAATGTATCATCGAATTTATAACTACTACTATTTCATTGAGATTCCTCTATTATTGAATTCAATATCTTTATTGTAGTACAAAGGGTCATTACCAAATACAGTTATGAAAACAATCACTAGGGGGCCTTTTATAGTCATATTTTCTGAAAAATATTCAGTGTCGTCCGGCACTGTACAAATGTACATTTTTCAATAATATTAAGAGCAGATAGTTGTTGGTTCACAGATGGATCAAAAACGCCTACAGGTTCTGGTGCAGGTGTTTTCAGTCGTAGACCCAGGACAGAGATATCAACCTGCCTAAGAACTTATGCGACTGTATTTCAAGCGGAAATTTACGCTATTGAATTGTGTGCGGAGAGATTGGGAGAATCCAACCTCATACACAAGTCAATAAAAATATTATCGGACAGTCAAGCGGCGTTGGAAGTTCTTGGCTCCTACCGAGCAACATCTGAATTGGTAGCAAATTGCCAAAACCGACTCTCCTCAATAGGAAGACTTAACAGATTGTGTCTGGTCTTGATTCCTGTCCATACTGGCCTGGAAGGCAATGAGGCTGCTGACTTTCTTGCAAAGAAGGGTGCTGCAAGCAGCTTCATCGGACCAGAACCTGTCATTGGCATCGCTTTAGACTTTGCCAAACAGTAACTGAACACTTGAATGGCAAGAAGCCCTGACAGAATCTTCCAGAATTGGCTCACTCCAAGGCGTTTATTCACCCTTCGAAGCTCGAAGCTTCGAACCACGATATCTAACAGGCCTTCTTACAGGTCACTGTCATTTGCATCATCATATGCAGAGACTCGGACTGTCCAAAGACAGTGTATGTCGCCTCTATTTGGAAAATAATGAATCAGCCTGTCCCGCTGGGGACCGAATCAGGTTTTTAGAGTTCGGCAGAGCCATACTCTTACCATGTGACCTGAAAGACCACTCAGAATACAAACCAATCGGCTTTGTTAAGAAGCTGGGTTTATTTGGCCGAGTGTGAATAGTTGTGAGCCACAATAAACCCTTGCGGTTTGCGGTGGAGGGTCGAATAGGACCACTCACTAACCTAACCTAACATTTTTCAATGGAAAACAGAAATGGGTGGAATTCCTCAACTTCATATTCTCAAAAATTGGCAATTTTCAATTGATATCTCACCAAATTCAAAACAAAACTCTGAAACAATAATTTTAGTTTCTCGCAGAATATTTGTGTCGAATGGTTTTCAATTCGGTTTCTACTAAAAATAAACTGTTTTGAATCATTTTATAAAGATTGAGAAACAACCTTAGAAATTAAAACACGATTTATTATAGATCAGATATAATCATACAAAACTATACAGGGTCATTCATTAGGCGCTTCGTATCTTTGAATTTGAATAAAACAAAGTGTACGTGAGAAATCGAAATTTTTATTCGTTTGAAAGACCTATTGGGGTCATTATATGTGAAGCGCATCTGAAACGTCCAATTTTCCATAAATAAGGCGTAAAAATCAAGCTAAATTTGATCGATAACATAGGTTATGTTGTCTCTGCGGACAGCTGTGGTTGTGGCTTGTGCATATACCTGCGACTTAAAAAAAACCCACAAGAAAAAGTGTAACGGGCTCAAATCGCACGATTTCGGTGGCCAGTTGACATCACCTCCACGTGAGATATCCGATATCCATGTGGTTGGCATTCAGATCATCTAATTCAGCCAAAAAAAGTTGGTGATCATAAACCTATAGACCGTTGACAATGATGGCCTGGTCAACGTCGTTCTCAAAGAAATATGGACCGATAACGCCTCCAGTCCAAAATCCATACCAAACCGTGACTTTTTCGAGGTGCATTGGATGCTCTCTGATAAGTATCGTCTCAAATCGCTGAAAATGATTTTTCGATGAAAGTTAGAATCAGTTGTCAACTGCTCCAAAGCCTATTCAGAGAACAAAAGTCTTTATCACAAAATTCGCCAAGTTGTGGTCTGCCACTGCCTCAGATTTTCCTGCACAATCTCACAGACAGCGGCGATGTTTTCGACATATCTCGGGTTTGGTCGACGTATGGGTGTTAGTCAATCATTCACTGAACCAGTGGACCCAAATTCATCCACCACGTTGCGAGTAGTCCCCTCGGTAGGACGATTATGGCGACCGTAAAATAGGCGAAGTGCGCAATTTTGATAAAACAATTTCATTATTTGCACATGTTGTTGAATGTTATATCCGTCCATGGTGATCTGGCAAAACAGACTGAATAAATGACAACTAATTTGACAGATGTTACTTCAACAAGATGGGTGTTATCAATTGTCAAAGTTCGAAAGTACCTGTTGGAAGACCCTATACATTCAATTTCCTGTCTTATAGATATGTCTTTTCATTATACGCACTTTTTTTCACTGGTGGTAGATAACAATGTTTTTTTACAACTTAATTTGAATATTCAAAACGAATGAATTCAATTCAGAAAATAAATGAATGAAACGTTAAATTACATCGCAACGGAATATAGAACAAATAGAAAAAAAAACGTTTATTTCAGTCTCCTTTTGAATATGATTGAACATTCTCGTTCGTTCATCGTAAATGGGCTCTTTACTATTTCAGTATCTAAAGCGAAAGCCATGTAGGTCTGGATTCAATTATTACGTGTGGAAATAACATGACCTGAATTTCTAACAAAGAATTATTGCAATTATATACGGGTACATGGTGTTTCATTATTGATCGACAACGTCGTTGTTGTTGTCCTTAGTTGCGTAACTGCCATTAATATCTAATAGAGAGATACTCGACATAACTTCTCAATAATATGCAGTCGTAACAACATATGAACTGGTCTCACCTTCAATTCAGTCAGTATGTGTTTTTCTATTATTGCCCCTGAAGACAAAAATATCTGACAATCAGTGAAAAAGAGACTACCCACCGCCGGGTAAGCTGATTTCCATTAAAACAGCAGGACTTAATGACTGTCAAATTGAAGAAACGTACATCGAGAACTGTTATGATGTGTGGTTTAGTCTAGTTTACAAGAGGCATTTTACCGAAAACCTGTTCTTCGAAACTGAAAATTTCTATTTGAAATGACATCTTGAAACTTTTGAAGAATTGTCGGCAAAAATTGCATTATATACAAGTAAATAATCAAGCCAAAGAATAGGCTTTTTGCCAATATCTCAAAACCTATTTGGGATATTGGTAGTTCAGAAAAGGTTCCTCAAAGAACAGGAACTGGAAAAATCTCATCTCACGGAACGGTATCATCAGTATTCATGCCCGTAAATACCGTAACCCACGAGGGTATATGTGGCTTAAACCAGTCACACCCATTCAAACTCAACCAAATAAAAAAGTTATTAACAAAGCCGCCCTACGGTACGTAGTTAGTCTAGAGTGTAAAAGGGAATTGCTCAGAGTAGTGTTAAAATTCCTAGTGATGGACCTCGACCACATTCCCGTGATATTAGACAGACCGGATATAATGGAAAGACGAAGTTCGGTAATTTCCCACATTATAGTGTGCCATGTAGTGATGAGTTTTGATGAGTGATCATTCGAGTCAACTAGAAAGGATCAGACTCTTTCAAACGCTGAGCACCTGAACGGGTCGACGGCGGGGCTGCCACAGTGTATGTTTTTCTACCAAGGCTTGACAGTTCCTTGTGAAGAATAATCCACTTCAAGGTAGAAAGATCGTCAGTTCAGTGAGGTCCTTATCACCGCTCACTCTGCAAGTTTCGTCAGGTAGGTAAGCAACATAAATGTGTGTCTTGGGAAGTTGTTCTCCTATGACTCATTCGAGAGAGGCGATCTTCCATGGCTGCAGGTTACTTACTCCAGCCACCAGCTGGGAGATGCTCTTCTGATCCTGTCAGGTAATCCATAGCCGTTCAGGTCGGAATGTGCAACTCTGAAATTGTTCCTGGAAACAATTTTCTGGAGTATCCTCTACTGCATCCATAGTGACATACTAGAAATTCCATTCGATTTGTGAATATTGAGATTATCGGAAGTTTAACGTATAAATTTACCACCTTAATGACCTCAGCGATCTTAACATATGAGGGCATCTGTAAGTCGCGAGATGTTAATTCAGCCTTGCAGGTTTTTTCCCTCTGGCTTAGATATATCATAGTTTGAGCGTAAACATTTGCAGATCAGCGCAGGAGGGATTTTGTTTTCTCATCTCATGCAGACCAAGCTTCTGCTGCTTAAAAAAATATCCAAGGCAGATTCATAAGATATCCTGCACTTGTGTAGGAGAACAAGTCGCTTCCTGCTTGCACCACCTGATCTGAATTCAATAACAGGATTTGGAGTTGAAGAACTGAAAAGCTCTCGCTCTTGATCCGATATTAGAGGGAAATCAGTTTGGGTCGGTAGCTCTGCGTTACCGGGGCTACCGGTGCCACGATCCTTGTTAAGAATAATGATTTCTGAGGAAAAAACTCTTTTCGAAAAATGTTCAACTGGAATAATTAACAATTTATTTGTTGCTAAATATCGATATCAAGGAGTTATTTTTGTTCTTTCATGATGCTAAGTAAATGTTTTTGTTGATATTCTATTTGCTGAAGGGTATGACTGAAACTTTTATAGTAGAATAAATCAAAAATAAACACTTCTCCCACATACTAGAACTGCAAAACTCTTCTCGACACGAAAAGTCGTAGATTTACGAAGATGCTCTCAAATACCCATTGCTTCCAGCCTGATAATATTTCTCTCAATATCATATATTTCTCCACTGAAAGAAAATTCAA